CAGTCCCAGTGCCTCAGCATAGTGGCTGCTTCCTGAGTGTTCATTAAGCTGGTGGAGTACAGTAGCAGGCTTTCTTTTGGGTCACCAACCAGCTCCCAAATAAAGACACGGAGACTTACTATAGTTATGGATGCTCAGCCTTATCTTATGCTTGTCCCTCTAGCTCTTATAACTTAATGTAACCAGTTTCTCTTCATCCATGTTTAGCCTTAGGGCTTTTTGCTTTTCATTCTGTGTGTCCTACTTTTCCTGATTCTTTGGATATGTCTTCTTTTTCTCCCTTGTTCTCTCTCATTCTCTTGAGCTTAGATTTTTCCTTTTATCTATTCTCTCTGCCCATGAGCCCTGCCTATCTCTCCTCTGCCTAGCTATTGGCTGTTTAGCTGTTTATTAGACCAGTTGGGTAGGCAGACAAGGTAAAACAGCAACACAATCTTTATATAGTTAAACAAATGAAACACATCTTTGCCTGGTTAAAGTAATAAACAAATGTAACACATCTTACATAGTTAATATTCCATAACAGAATACAGCACATAGCCTTCCTTTACCTGCTGGTTGTACCTTACAATGTAGGTCTACCATTTGCATGACAGAGCACTTACCTCCTTTGTTTTTAGACATGCTTACCTCTTTGTCATGATGAGGATGAGCCTATGTCCTTGTGCATGCTAATAATACTGCACCTCAGTGAATCCCAAGAAAAAACTTTAGTAGCTAAATCTGTCACCCTCTTTTTATTTTTAATTATTTATTTAGTTTTTCGGGACAGGGTTTTTCTGTGTAGTTTTGGAGCCTGTCCTGGAATTCCCTCTGTAGACCAGACTGGCCTTGAACTCGGGGATCTGCCTGCTTCTGCCTCCTGAGTTCTGGGATCAAAGGCGTGTGCCACCACCGCCCAGCCACCCTCTTTTTTCATTTTATTCTTTCACTTTTCTGTTGTTAATGCTACCCACTTCTCTTTGGCTCCCAAGTTTCCCCTGCTCAGGGGTGTTTTAGCTCCTTAAATGATGGAAATCCCTTGTCCTCCTGGGCGCTTATTCCCTCAGGGATGCCTTTCCTCCCTTGCAGTCTGTGTGCCTGCACTTACCCTGGTGACCCTGGCTCCTCGTCATCTGCTGCCGTCTCTCTTCCTCCCAGTCAAGTTTGTTGAAAAGACAGCTTTCAGGGTTGTGGGGTCTTACTTTTCATTCTCTTTCCTGTGGTTACCTGTCAGCTGCTTCCCTCTAAACTGCTAGGCAGAGCACACACACACTTTGTTAAGACAAAGTCTCTTGGACATTTTGAAGTCCCTCTCACTATGTCCCAGTGCCTGGGTTACTTGACAGCACTGTTCACTTCTTTGAAGCAACACTCTTCCTGTTCTCCCACTGTGAGCATCCTCCTGCCTTCTTGGGAGCTCAGAGCATTCCTTGCTCCGCTCTGGCCCTATGTATTCCCAGTAGGTAAACATTCCTAACTAAATCCTTATCTTCAGCCTAGACATGCACACATGGACAAGTGTGTCCCACAGTGTGAAACTCAACCTTTATTATCTTAATTCACCCACATGTTCTCTCTCCTGAGGACGTCGTTCTAGTGAGTAACCCCTACTAGTTATGCTGGTGTATAAATTAATAGGAGGCCCTTAGATTTGCCTTGCACCCTCCTCCTCTCCTCTTTCAGTTAATTGACACGTGTTGCTGATTGTGTCAGAGCTCTGCCAGCCCCTTCTCATTCCCATGCCCTCTACTCTGCAGCAGTGTCCTGTCCTAACTAACCTGCCCCTTGCTGGTCTGTCCCACAAAGTGTTTGCTGCCACACGTGCACCCAAATATTACAGTAAGGTTGTCATGATAGAGTCCTGGTTCCTTCCCCTGGAGTACAAGGTTTTTTTCAAGGCTCCTGGTTAATGTGTGTCCTTTTATTTATTTACCTCATCTACCTGCCCCACCCTTCTAAGCATTTTGTAGTTTTTCTTCTATGGTGTGTATCATTTTTTTTTTTCCCCCTAGAAAATGCCTCTGTTTCTGACTTTGGGGTAAAGTCTCCCTGCTGTCATAACAAGATATGGTAACTTATTAGTTAATTCTTTTTTTTTTTTTTTTTTTTTTTTTTTTTTTTTTGTCATTCCTCTGCCATCTTTGTATTAGCCCCACTCCCCAACCCTCAACATACTTTATATAAACCTCCATTAGAGTACTGGCAACTCTGGTAGACCATTAACTCTGGGGATGGTTACTGAGCACTGGGAAAGGACAAAGGGATTGGCATTATTAGTGAAGGTTACATGTGTGTATGAATGAGAAGATTTTTGTTTTATTTTTAAACGGAGTCGTACCAGTTAGCCCTGGCTAACCTGATGATGCTATGTAGACTAGCCTGGCTTTGAACTCACAGATATATGCCTTCCTCTGTCTCCTGAGTGCTAGGATTAAAAGGCATGTAGTGCATGCCTGGCTAAGGAGAGGTTTTAACAGAAGTTACTGAATCATCCATGGCTTTGTCCCCTGTGCACAGGCCCTGAAAGCTGCATGGTAGCTGGTGAAACCTTTGGGTTTACACAGTCTCTGTACCCTTGTCTTCCCCAGGGGAAATTATAGGTAAAGGCATTTTTACAGTGCTGGTAGAAGCAACTCATACTTGTCGAGTGCTTTGTTTTCCTGTCGAGTGTCAGAGGACAAATATGAAGTACAGAAAGGGTGTGCCTGTTAGAGGTGGACAGCATAGCCCACAGGCAGCAGAGCCGGGCGGGATGTGTGCCCTGTCTGTACACTCTCAGACGTTATCAACATGTGATTTAAAGAATATGGAACTCCCTTTTCAGAGAAGTGCCACTCATGACATTGTCAACATAGAACTCCTCTGAGGCTGGGCATTCACGCTGGGTGTGGTGGTGCCCTTGAGAAGTGGATGCCGGAAGGTCAGGAGTTACAGGACATCTTAGCTATGTAGTTTAACAACAGCCTGGGCTACTTGAGACCTTGTCTTAAAACAAATAAAACCCACAAAAATCACTTCTTTTAACTTATGAGGCACATGTGACGTGTTCTTTATCATTTTGCCATGTGTGCTATGCATTTGCATAAAGGCAGATTGGGTCTCTCTGTTAACTTAGAGGCTCAGGTAATAATAGGCACAGATGGGGACAGATAGTTTTGATGTGCACTTAGCCATCAAATTATTCAGCAGTCCTTACTGAGCCACCTGGGTAACGAACAGCCTGGCTACTGTCACATTCCATTTTCTCACAGGGGTCAGGTCAGGGAGGTCAGGCGTTAATCTGAGGTGCTGACAGAAGAAAATGACCTATATCACCAGTGTGTCAGAGGCCATGCTAGAAAGTTCAAAAAGCTCGGGAGAAATCAAGAAGCTTAAAAAATGTACCCCACGGGGCCTGGCAGGTTCCCTTCCCTGCCTGTGCCCTGTTCTGTGCTTCTATAGAGTGACCAGTGTTGGACTGATCTGCCTCTTAGTTCTTTCCAGTTTGTTGTCTTTGAACTATGAAAATGCCTTTGTTAAAAAGAGACAATGCAGGAGGTATCTGTGTGTGTATTATTGAATAATAACACTAGATGTTTCATCTATTGTCTCTGTGAGCCAAAAGCACAGGCTCAGGATGTTCATGCAGCCGACCGTTTACTCTGCCATGGGATACATTATGCCTTGCTCTCACCCGGTACTTCTGACATTTGAGGGGTTGGATCCATTTTGTTCTCCGAACTTAAAAATCACTCTCTTTTGTCCTCCATACCTAAATTTGGTGTTTGTGATGGGAATAAATAAACGAAATAGTCTTTATTAAGGGACCCAACATTGTTGGGCATTTGTTGCATGGACAGTACTGCTAGGGTCAGTATAGACATCAGGAGAGAGCCCCTGCCCTAAACGAGGTAAAATTAGAGAGTAGAGAATCAATGATCACTGTAGGAAACTGTTAGAAGCATTGCCATGGGGCTAGAGAGATGGCTCGGCTGTAAGAGCTCCTGCTGCTCTTCTAGAGAACCTGAGTTGTTCTGGCACCCACATAGGGCAGTTTATGACCTCCTGGAACTCCAGCTCCCAGGCATCTGACGCCCTCTTCTGGCCTTTACGGTTCCAGCACACATTCACTCACACAGACACACATAAATAAGGAGATAAATAAATCTTTAAGAAGAAAAGTGCAGCTGCAGAAGCTTAGAGGAGCAGGAGTGTGGATTAAGAGTATTTTGTAGGGGCTGGAGAGATGGCTCAGTGGACCCAGGTTAAATACACAGTACCCACATGGCTGCTCACAACTGTCTGTAATTCCAGTTCCAGGGGACAGGGCACCCTTAGCACAAAAAAAAAGAAAAAAAAAAGACAAAAATGTCAATGCACATAAATAAACAAATAAAATTAAAAATACTGGCAGCTACGTTGTAAAAAAAAAAAAGTATTTTGTATAGGCTGGTGGGAGGGAAAGTCAGGGTAACTTGGTGTAAGGATAAGACTGTGGACCTAGAGTTAGGAGACCTGGGCTTTTACAGTGTCAGTCTTCTCGTTAGTCTCTGGGTCTGGTTGGTTTGTAAGCTGCTTTTTCAGACAGGGCCGTGCTCTGTTGCCCAGACTCAAGTCTAGTTACATAGCTGGAGCTGTAGGTGTATGTCACTGCATCTGACTTGCCCCTTTGTATCACACACCCTCCATGGGCAGTGTGTGTGACACAGAAAGTTCTGTCTGAGCCTCAGGGCAGAGCGATGTTCTTGAACAAAGTGGATATTAAGCCAGTTGTAATTGTAAGGTAAGAATGAATTTTAATGAAGTGAGATTTCAGATTAAACTAATTAGGACCAGACAACCTTACAAAGGCTTAATATCAGCCTGGTAGCTCACCGTGCTCTGGTGGAGCACTAACTGGTGGTAGAAGAGGTGACATGCCTTCCCTCGCCTCTGATGTCAGGGCTGTGGAGATGTGTACCCTGCCTTACCTGTGCCCACAGGGATAAAACTGCAGCAGTGGTACATCCTAACTCTTACCTCTTCCTCTCCTGTACCAGATTTTATCATGTGGGCATCCTGCTGCAACTGGTTCTGCTTGGATGGACAGCCTGAGGAGGCCCCACCACCACAGGGAGCCAGGACGCAAGCCTATTCCAACCCCGGGTACAGCTCCTTCCCTTCCCCCACAGGCTCAGAACCAAGCTGCAAATCCTGTGGGGTCCACTTTGCAAGCACAACCCGAAAGGTAAGTGTCATTGCACTATGACCGCAGAATCTCAGGCCAGCCACCTGGCTTCTACCTGTGTGATGCTGGACACCCTGGGCCTGCCCTAGTTAGTCATAAGAATGTTCAAGAATAACTGTTCAAGTGAAGGCAAAGCATCTCAGCGTAGACTTGGAGCAGCTGCTCCTGCATAGCCACCAGCTTCCCTGCTCACCAGCTGTGCCAGTGCCCCAGCTGTGAATGAAGTACCCTGTTCTAGTGCTGGGGATGAAAGTGAGGCTAGGTGTGCCCGGCACCGTTGAACCATGGCAGGCATCGGTTCTGTTAGCTGTCACATAGAAGTCCTGACCACAGATTAACCTTGTCCTGGTTATCAAAAGCCTGTTAGAGTTTACTGAGAGACGAGAATACCCTAGCAGAGGAGCTGGAGCCCACTCACAAGCATAGACGCCATCTGCAGTGGGCTGCAGTGCGGACGGCTGTCCCTTTGCTAGTGCCCTCAGGCAGTGCATGTCCAGCAGAACAAGAGGTTCATAGCCCAGAATGGCTGGTAGGATTCGGGGATGAAATGGTGGCAATGGGAAACCAGGGGAGAGGAATTCTTTTTAAGTTTTCCACTGTATAGAGGAACTGTTAAAGGTTTTAGCCAGGTGTGGTGAAATACATTTGATACGGTGAACTTGAGGTGACCCCGAGCTATGTACTGAAACCCTGTTTCAAGCAACAACAAAAAATTTAGACTTTTAATTTTACTAAGACTTTTTAGATTTTGTTGTTGTTTTTTGAGAAAGGGTCTCACTCTATAACCTAAATTAGCCTTGACCTCACCGTTGTTAACCTATCTGGTTTCAAACTGAAGGCAGCTTCCTACCTCAGCCTCCCAAGTAGTGAGATTACAGGTTTGCCACTTTTCCTTGCTTAGATTTTGTGATGGTGGTGGTGGTGGTTGTTTTTTGTCTTTCCAGACAGGGTTTCTCTGTGTAGCCCTGGCTGTTCCAGAACTTGCTTTTGTAGACCAGGCTGGTCTCCCTAGTGCTGGGATTAAAGACGTGCCCCCAACACCAGCAGACTTTTTAAAATTTTGATCTTTGTTTGTTTCATTTAATCCTCACAGTAACTATTTCAGTTTTAGAAACCACCAAATCCTGTTTTACATATGACAACATTTTAGAGTTTAAAATTTAAAAAGAAAATGGGGTGGTTGGTGGTGGTGTAGGAAGAAGCAGGTAAATCTCTGCATTTGAGGTCAGCCTGGTCTACAGAGCAAGTTCCAGGACAGCCAGGGAGAGAGTTCTGTCTCGAAAAAACGAAGGAAAAGAAAAAAAAAGTTTTAAAAGTAAACATGTCAGGTTCTTGGTAAACAGCAAGAGACATGGACATATCCATTCTTTTTCTCACAAACAACACTTCACATCGCATGGTTAAGTACTAGAGCCAGGATTCAAACTCAGACCCTACAAGTAGACATGTGGCGTGTTGGGGATGGCAGGTAACAGGCCCAGGTTCTTGGGAGGGAGCATGGGCATGATCAGTATTGCCTCCTCCCCCACTGGAAATATGTGCTGAAGTCTAGCTGGTGTCAGATGTTGCCTGGTTAACAGACAAGGATGAAGGAGGTTGTCCTTCCCTGATTAGGGAGCTTACAGTGGGACAGAGAGGTCGAGGCAGAGCACACTGTGTAGTCACACAGGGAACAGGCACCGTGGCCTGAAGTGCTCCATCGGGGGAGGCAGATCCTAATTTGGATGATGAAAGATGATATTGGTATAATGTTTTCTTGCTCTAAATGATAAATTAATTTTGTGTGGTTTGCAGCTTGAATTTTGTGAATATTAACAATGTTTTTTCATTTGTCATTTCATGCTTAAGTGGACTGGCCTTCTTACAAGTTTGGCATTTCCCAGCCAGAGACTTAAAAAGTAGCTCTTCTAGAAGTAGTTGAATTGTCTTTGATTACATGGATCCTACCATCTTTTCTTTTCTTTTCTTTTCTTTTTTTTTTTTCCAATTGTGGTCAGTATTTTCTACATGCTCACTGGTTTAAAGCATACACAACAGCAAAGACCTGTAGAAAGAATACAGGCCAGAAATGTCCCCTTCATCCTCCGGGTTCCCAATCCTGGAGAGATGGGACAGGCAGGCTTCAGTTTTGCCACAAGCTGTCACATATATACTGGTCATGGCCACCTGTAGTGTTGTGGTGGCCCAGCAGTTTCAGAGTGAGTTCTGGTGTCTAGCTTCTTCAGCTGAACCAGTATGAGGTGATGGAGGCTGCTGTACTAGGTTGGCCTTTGGGCGTAGTATGCAGATGCAGAGCAGAAGTGGTTTTTTTGGTGTTGAGAAGATCTGAGATGGACCAGAGGGGAAAGAATAATAATGCCTTCTCGTGAGTGTGTCTGCCTTATGACGTTTTATATAAATGATCTCTGGTTTTCCAGTGGTTCAGAAGCCAGCAGGATGAGACTGTGGGCCTACAAAGTGTCAATTTGGTTGAGGTTGCACTGAGGGAAGTAAGGACAGCCTGGTAAAGGGGGGAAAAAACCAGAAAAACAAGGCTGGCTGCTAGCTAGCTCTTGTTTCAGTGCAGGTCCAGACCTCTTCTGATTCCTCTTCCTTGCTGTTTTGTTACTCTGGTTTGATCAGTTTGTTAGAATTTACACATGCCTGTCCTTTGCTCCTTCTCCCCTTGTTTGTTGATGGAAGATTCTTCATTCTCTCTGTTGTTTCCCACCATTGTACTCAGGTGCCCCCCTCCTCCTTTACAGCTATTTCCCGGGCAGGCTTACTTCACAGTCCCTGGTGGGCAGGGGTGGTAGCTGAAACTGGATTGTCATCCTTGACTTCTGCTCTTGTATCCAGAAGCTACACACATTTGAAGAGAGATATTTGGATCTGGCTGATTGAGCAACACAAGCTTCATAATTGTGTTGGTCTCGGTCTTGTCAAACTGCATTGACTTAAGTAACACTCCATGTGGGGACCAGAGTTTCATGATTCTGCAGCCTCTTCATTTTCAGTCAGGCATCAGGAATGAACCCCAAATACTCAACTCCCGTTTTCCACGTACGTGACCGTTGGTCACAACTGTTTTTGGCAGGTATAGGCACATGCCCTTTCCCATCTCTGCACAGTTTACTATGTGGTTATAGCTGAGTAGAAAAGAGGATTGGTGTGTATTCCCTTGTAGCACCCAGGTTTTGTTGCTTTGCCTGGACTGCGTGGATGGCACGTAGACAAACACCAACTATCTGGACTCTTCAGGCCCTGTACAAAGATTGCCCTGATCCTGCCTCTGAGAATGTGTCTCAGGTGTTTCTTTTGCAGCTGAACAGATTTCCATATTGAGAGAAAGGAAGCAGAAACGTATAATGTGAAATGAAAAGTTCCCAGCCTCTTGAGAAGGTGCCCTTGGATAGACCCCAAGGTGTTGAGGAATGACCTCTTGGGAGAGTGACTTGTCATTGGCTGGAGCAGAGCTCAGTCAAATGTCACCACTGTCCTTGGCAGCCTTGGAGTGCTGTCTGTGACTGTGGGAGGAGCTGCACCAGGCAGTGCCAGCTTGTGGGTCAGTCACACTTGTCTCTAAACTGAGACACTGTGTGCTTTCATAAAGGAGAGAAACTAGCATCCTGGCCCCTTGTCCTGTCCAAATATTTATCTTGAAGTGACCTCGTGTACCACCTTCTTCAGCACCCTGATCGGCCCTGCTAGAGCGGGAAAATCTGTGAGCAGTCTCTGTGGACAGGGCTCTGATTAGGAAGTTGGGAAGTGGAAAGCCAGGCTCCTGATTTGGTCCTGATGGCTGTTGGGGACTCAGCACGGTTGAGGGCATTGGCTGATCCCAGTTGCACCTTTACTCTCCAACCTTGAATATAATACTTGCTCTCCGTGATTCTTGGTTTTCTCTCTTTGTAAATCAGGGACGAATACTAATATTTTTAAAGGGGCTTAGAGAATGAAAGGATAAGCCAGGCCTTACTGTATGTAGCATCACAGTACATTCTATTGATACCAGTGTTGACAATAGTTGCTAGGTGGACATGGTGACACATGCCTGCAGTGGAGGCCAGTTTGAGCTACACAGTGAGACCCTATCTCAAAAACCAAAGGCTGGCTGGGTGGTGGTGAACGCCTTTAATGCCAGCACTAGGGAGGCAGAGGCAGTTAGATCTCTGGGTTCAAGGCCACCCTGGGCTACATGAGAGTGAATCCGTCTAAAAGAGAAACATATCCCACACCTTTGATCCCAGCACTTGAGAGTCTACAGCTTCAGGTTTTGTGTGTGTGTGTGTGTGTGTGTGTGTGTGTGTGTGTGTGTGTGTGTGAGAGAGAGAGAGAGAGAGAGAGAGAGAATTAAGAATTATATAAGCTGCTAGATGATGGTGGCATACAGCCTTTAGTTGCACTCCAAAACAGGCAGGCAGATCTCTGAGTTCAAGGCCAGCCTGGTCTACAGAGTGGGTTCCAGGACTTCAAGACAGAGAAACCCTATCTGGAAAAAAACCCAAACAAACAAAAATTAAATAAGCCTTAAATGAAATTACAAGTGTAAATTATTATGTTGTATATATGCATAGTGTATAAATGTCAGATGTCCTGTTGGTGGACACAGCCACGTGCGGTCTGCCACCTCCAAATGGCCTTTAATCTGAAAGCCGCAGTGTGGTTCAACCGTGGATCTAGGGAACAGTTTAGTAGAGCAGGAACTACTGGAGGAGGTCTTGCTGGCCCCAGTGGCCTTGTAGCTCCCATCCCACTTTCTGACTCCTTCTTCCTAGCTGACATGTTTTCCCCTGTCTCTCGCTCTAAGCAGCAGACATGCTTGGACTGTAAGAAACATTTCTGCATGACTTGCTCAAGCCAAGAGGGGAATGGGCCACGCCTCTGCCTCCTCTGCCTACGGTTCCGAGCCACAGCCTTTCAGCGGGAGGAACTCATGAAGATGAAGGTGAAGGACCTGAGGGACTATCTCAGCCTCCATGATGTCTCTACTGAAATGTGCCGGGAGAAAGAAGAGCTGGTGTTTTTGGTGCTTGGCCAGCAGCCTGTAATCTCGGCTGCGGCGGACAGGACTCATACGCCCACCTTGTCCCAGGACTTCCCCGAGCAGCAGGCCTTCCTGACCCAGCCTCACATCAGCACAGTGCCTCCTACCTCACCTGCACAAGCCACCTCTGTCCCCCTAGCCCAGGCTCAGGAAAACCAGGTAGGAGCCAGCACACAGACTCTTCATCTCTATGTCTGCTCCAGAGCTCATTTCCTTTTCCTGTTGCATTGTGGGAATGGGGAGTGAGGTCGTGTCTTGATGGTGTGAAGCATTTGTGCCTGTTGATTCTGGAAATGATGTTTCCTGGTCACTATCAGGCTCATGTTTTGGCTTTAGAGGTGGTAAGCCTGGTACCATGTTTTTGTGGGTTTTGTTCGTAATGGGCTTCATTCCCTTGTTAGACTTTAAAGAAAAAGAAAAAAAAAAAAATCATTGCTCCAGAAATATTGTGAGGAAAGTCACCATTACTTCTCTAGCTTGGTTCAGATTTACCCTCCAGCTTTACTACCATTTTGACTGGTCTGTCCTGACTGGGCAGGTAGGGAAGAGTTGGGAGGACTGATAGGGTCTGGCTACTGTCCTGGTCACTGTGTGCTGTGTGGGAGCTGTCTAATTGGGTAAGCCAAGAGAGGCAGGTTGAGGCATGGAGAGTCCATAGTAAACAGACACTGTCTCCACCCTCAGGAAGCCCTGGGAGAGAGAAGCTGAGCTCCATATCTACTCTTGGGTTCGTCTGCAGTGGTGGTGTTGCACAGACCTGTAGAAGTCCCTCCCTGATGCTGCGAGTTATGGTGCCTGCACCCTGTAAAATTAGGACCTAGATCAGGACTCCGAGGCCACTGTTTTTTTTTTTTTTCTTTTCTTTTCTTTTCTTTTTCTTTCTAAGACGGGATTTCTTTATGCAACTGCCCTGGCTGTCCTGGAATATACTTTGTAGACCAGGCTGACTTTAAACTCTCAAGAGATCCACCTGCCTCTGCCTCCCAAGTGCCTGGATTAAAGGCACCACTACAGCCTGGCTGATTTTTGTTTTCATTTGGTGCTAGATATTCAGCTCAGGACCTCAAGCATGCTAGGCAAAGGGCTCTGCCATGGAGCCACACCACCAACCCCATAATTAATTTCTTCTGACTCCTTGGTCATCTGGGGCATACTGTGAGCCTAGAACAATGGAAGGAGACCCCTTTGGGCTTGTTATGTTGCAGAGAGGCTCAACTACCATAGTATATCTTTGGAGCATGGAGCTGCCAGTTCTTGGCAGCTCCTTTCCCACACATGGCATGGATGGCTGGGCCTCATGGCTGTGCTTACCTTTTGCCAGGACTGGCACTCATTCAGCTTTTAGCACATTTAAAGGCCAACGTCATTAATGCTCTCCTAAGCTCCAGCTCTTGATCTTTTGGGCAGGTTTTATTGCTATACTTACTTTTTTTTTGCTTGGATTTTTAGAGCACTCTAGTCTGCATGTAGTGAACAAGGAGGGGATGTGCATTTTTTTTTTTTTTTTCATGAAGAACCTTTAGACAGGTCAGGTGTGGCACTATGGAGATGGGGGCATAGGGATCAAGAGTTTGAGGCTAGTCTCTTCTACATAGTGAGTTCAAGGCATGAGATTGCTGTCTCAAAAGAGGAAGCAGGGTTGGGGGTTGGAGAATGAACAAACTGTCAGGAGATTTGCCATGTAAGATTATAAACTTACCATTTTGTCACTAACCAACAGGCCATACTGTATACCGTGTGTTAATGGGGTACCTTTCTTCTTGATATTCTAGAAGACGTTAAGTGTCAATTCCTTCTGTTAGGTGACACCTGAACCTTGCAAACAGGAAAAACAGGCATGGGAAAGTTAAATAACTGGAACAAGGCTATGTACTATATCACAGCAAGCAGGGAAACAAACCTAACAGTTCTAACCCTTTGATGTCCTAGCAGTATTTGCTAGGGAAGAAGTGTGTGTTCAGTAAGCAGAATAGTAGACAGATAGATACTAGTTGTAGATTTTTACTTACCCAGTAGGAAAACTGGGAAGATAAAAGTATTTACAGCATGAATTCCAGTTGCTCTTTCTAGGGAACAAAAGACATCCAAATAAATAAATAAATAAATAAATAAATAAATAAATAAATAAAGCAAGCTCAGGAACAGATTAGCCTATGGAAGACCCCAAGGTTAATACCAAGGGGACAGTACCCAAGGAACAGTAGATACTACATCTATATAAAACTAGTAGGAAACCAGAGGTATTGATGCAGAGACTGTTGGCTTCATCCCATATGTATGAGTCCCTATCATCGCTTAGGGTGCTTTATGCTCTGCTTTTCATTTCTATTGTAATTGTTTGCTTTTCTTGATGAAAGGCTAGAGCTGTCTCTCTCCTCTTGTTTTTCCAGACAGGGTTTCTCTGTGTAAGACTGGCTGTTCTGGAATTAGCTCTGTAGTCCAGGATGTTCTCAAACTCAGAAATCTTCTGCTTCCACTGCCCGGCCCAAATTGTGTCTTTACTGTTCATCCAGGTTCTAGGGGAAAGACCTGTGAACTCAGACATGTCTTTTGCTCTGAGTTTGCTCTTTGCCTGGGAGTGAAGAGAAGGAGCTTGGTAGGGGTTTGTGGCAGAAGTGGTTAATAAGAGTTAGGAGGTCACAATTCTGACCACTCTGACAAAAGTGAACCCTTTTGAGAAGTTAGAATGCCGAGTAAAATGGAACCCAAGCTGAGGCATTTGTGACCTGTAGTCTTAGTGTGTTAGGTTCCTAAATTCATTTATAAACACATTTAAGCAGCTACAGGTATGTCATACCATGTCCTACTGGTTAGAACACATTTCCAGAATGTGAGAGACTTCAGAGTGTGATTTGGGGTGGATCAGTTGAGTCCAGGGAGTTTTTTATTCTTTGTTTTGGTTTTTCAAGACGGTTTTTCCCTTGTGTAGCTTTGGAGCCTGTCCTGGAACTTGCTTTGTAGGTCAAGCTGAACTTGAACTCACAGAGATCTGCCTGCCTCTGCCTCCTGAGTGCTGGGATTAGAAGCCTGTGCCACCACTGCCAGGCTAGGTCAAGGAGATTTATGTTAAGGATGTGAATGAGGTGTTTGGAAAAACGAGTGGACATTGGTCCAGAGGCAGAACTGTGTTGGCTTACTGATGGACAGAATTAGAGTACTCTTGGTTATTCCATTTATTTATTTATTTATTTATTTATTTATTTATTTATTTATTTATTTATTTGAGGTAGGGTTTCTATGTGTAGTCCTGGCCATCCTGGAACATTCAAAGACCAGGTTGGCTTTGAATTCACAGAGATCTACCTGCCTCTGCCTCCTGAGCTCTGGGATTAAGGACATATGCCACCACCGCCTGGTGACAAATGCGCTTGTTCTTGATGCAGCTTTCCATCCATAGAAACCTGTTCACATCGTTTCTCTGCCTGAGAGAGTTGCTGTTAGAAAGCAGGCATTTGTGATACTGCTTTGGGAGGGAGCCTTGGTTTCTGGAGGGAGATGGGAATACATTTTGGACATTTGTATAAATTGAAAGAGGCCCATTCTATCTAAGTTGCTGGGATGTTTCTGTGGATGTGATGGCACCTTTCTCTTCCCACAGGCCACTGGCCATGTGCCTCAGGACCACGAGGAGCCCGTCTTCCTGGAGAGCACAGCCAGAGTACCTACCGAGGATGAGACCCAGGTGGGTCTCTGCTCGGTCTGTGCCTTTGCCTTTGTTCTTTCCCTGGTCTTCTTGGGATATTCCTAGGAGCCTCAGCAGACTCAATAGAACAAAAAGGATCAGTCTCTGAGGATTAACATTGCAGATTCGTTTATTGCTGTCAGTGTGAGCAAGCAGATTCGAGGCTACAGTGGAAGATGGGGAGCCTCCTGGCCCACAGTCTTTCTGAGAGTTGCCAGAGGGCATGCTCTTGTTCTTGTCCTGTGTGCCTAGAGGTGCAGTAGCCATTGTTGGGAAAGGAAGTAAGATAAGGCTTTCAGGCCTCATCCACACAAGGGACCAGTACAGAACATGGTTCTGAGGGTCCATAGAGCTTAGGTGAAGCCATGTGTGGAGGTCCCTCCAGGGAGGTCTATACTGAGACAGGCCAGCCCAGCACCATACCTGGGGTTTTCCTATACAGCCACATTTACTTTCCACAGGAACCCTGTGCATCAGGATAGCAGTCTGTCCTTTGGGGAGGGGTAACAGGCTCAAGATGGTAAATGACTTGAAAAATAATGTCTAATATTTAGTGGCGGCATCAGCATTGAGAATCACGGCCCTCTAGCCAATTAACTACTGCACCCTGTATGCCTGGTACTGATAAGCCAGTACTGATAAGCCAGTGTGTGGCTGTCTGCACAAACAACATGATGGAACAGGCAAAGATTAGTCTGTTTTGCTGTGCCAAACAGTGTGCCAGGAACCCTCTTTTTCACGTTCCTTGAGGTTGGTCAACAAAGTGCATGTTGATGGGTTCTCTGTGTTCCTTGAAGAGACACAACTGAACCAGCTGATCATCACATCTTTGCTGTTGCAGTCCATTGGCTCAGAGGACAGCTTCGTCCCCGGCCGGAGGGCTTCACTGTCTGATCTGACCCACCTGGAGGACATTGAAAGCCTGACAGTGCGGCAGCTGAAAGAGATTCTGGCTCGCAACTTTGTCAACTATAAGGGCTGCTGTGAGAAGTGGGAACTGATGGAGAGGGTGACTCGACTGTACAAGGATCAGAAAGGACTCCAGCATCTGGGTGAGGGGCTATCTGGGTAGCAACTGAACAGAGAGGTCTTTGCTGCCATCCCACACATGATGGTATCACACTGACTTGATCTGATCCACATGTGTTTAGCCTCAGAGGAAGCCAGCCTACACGTCTGTACGTCTCAAGCACCAAGACTGGGGACAGGCATTGAATATACAATTTAACCCTCAGAGCAACCTAGGCAATAGGCTCTATTAAGTGTCACTTAGAGAGCCAGGATTTGAACTAAGGATTTCTAAGCCTAATGTCTTCCTGCCCCCACGACATATGCTCCATATTCTTTATTCTTTTCTCTGCTACCAGCAGTACTTGCTTTGAGTCAGCTTTGGGTTGGAAAGCAAATTCTAGCATATAGTGTGCTTGGATTTTTTTCTTGTGTTCACTTCCCAAAGCATTTTACATTGTGTCATTTTAGATGTTTTATGCTGTCCTCACACTAATTCATTGAAGATGTTTTTCTACTAAATGCCAAAAAGTCCTGGAGAAGAGAAATGTGTTTGGCTGTTTTGCTAGGCAAGCGCTTTACCATTAAAAGCATCCCCAGCACAATAGCCTTAGCTAGGGTTTTCTTCCATGGGGCTGGGGATCAAACCCAGAGTCTTTGTCCACATGCTAAGCAAGCATTCCATCACTGTACTTACTGCCCCCTCCCTTTGGCCAGGTTGAACTGGACATTCTCATCACCAGCTGAATTAGTTCTTTGTGCATTTTGATTCCTTGTATGATAAATGGTTGTAAAAGCCAAGCTTCAGGCCTTCCTCTGATAAATTTGAATAACACAGATTTACCAAGTTAGGGGAAGTTGTAACTGCATTGGTGATAGACCTGGGGCCTGACAAGGCGTCTGCCTTCGCTTTCTCTTTGGGATTATCTTGAGTCTTTACTTAGAGTCCCAAAGATTTTAGGAGTAGGTTTTTGCTGTTTGTTTGTTTGTTAATACTGGATCTTACTCTGTATCCCTGGCTGGGCAGGAACTGGCTATGGAGAGTGGGTTGGCTTCAAACTCACAGAGAATCCCTTGCCTGTCCCTCCTCAAGTGCCTGGGATTAAAAGTGTGTACTATCCTGTTCTGTGCTGTGCTGCTGGTGGGATTTTTTTTTTTTTTTTGTTTTTGTTATTTTATTTTTTATTTTATTTTTTGTTAATTTGTTTGGTTTTTGTTTTTCTTTTTCTGGAGATGGGGTTTCCTAGTATAACAGCCCTGACTGTCCTGGAACTAGCTCTATAGACCAGGCAGGCCTCAAACTCTCACAGAGATCTCTAGTGATAGAACAAAGGATGTGCACAACACAACCACCACCACCCGTAGTTTTTAAAAACAGGCTCTTAATAGCTCAGGCTGGCCTGGAACTCATGATCCTTCTTCTGCCTCTTGTGCTGGGATTATGGGCATGTACCACCATGCCTGGCAATAATATGACTGCATGTGATAGCTTTGGCGGGCTCCTTGGCTCATTGAAATAGTCAAACTTTCATTCCTTTTACCTCAATGATGGCTTCAGAGGCAACATTAAAGGATATGTATGTGCAGTGTCCTTTCAACTGACACAGTGGTCACTGTAGACCAGTGGAACATGCTTTTCTCAGAACAAGGCAGATAGGACAGTTAGGCTCCATGTGAGTTCTTAGCACAGAGTGAGTGGGGAGGGTGAGCTAGCACCTGTCCAGATTCCAGCCAGGCCCTGTTCTCAGCCTAGAGCCGATTGGAGTTCGGAAATGATGGCAGGGTGGTGGAAGATTACCTTTTACCATCACACTCATATTCACACATCCTTTTCTCTTCTTTTCAGTGTCTGGTGATGAGGATCAAAACGGTATGTAATTGTTTCTGTTAAGCATTGACTTAGGCTCTTAGCAGTTTTATTTTCCTGTCTGCAATCCTGATGTCTGTCCACAGTCTAAGAATTGTAGGCATATGTGTTTACAGAGAGACTGTGGGAAAGTATAGAGTCACATTCTCCTTGCTCCAACCCTATGAAGGAAAGCCATAGCAGCCTAGGGGCTTGGCTGATTTGGAGCCGATACCCTGTGTGGGGAGTACCATACTCAGTCTCTCCATGTGGTCTGTCTGGGGAGAGTTTATACTTGCAGAGATGTCATTTGAGGGTTTTTTTTTTTTTTTTAAGATGGTGTCTGTCTGTGTAGCCCTGGCTTCCCTGGAACTCAACTATATGGATCAAGCTGGTCTCAAGCTCACAGAGACCAGCTGCCTCTGCTTCCCAGGTGCTGGGATTAAAGGCTCCCACCACTGCACCTAGCATAATAAGTGTCTGCCAGCCAAACCAAAAAGTAAGGGTGGTGACCCAAGAGTCCTGTTAGATGGTAGTCAGAGATGCTCAGGAGACAGCAGAGGTGTTGAGTGGTTGCCTTCTGAGCTCTGAATGCATATCCCACCTGGCTACCCGTGTATTAAAGGCCACCACTGGGGCATCCTCAGAGCACATCATAGAACCCCAATAGCCTGTGGGATGTCACTTTTGAAAGCCTTGAGAAATGTGGGCACAGTGTCCCACAACTATTCTCAATAGTGTTACAGCACTTTAAACCTTTTTCAGAAGACTTTTTGAATTTATCCTAAGTAAAATGGTCTTCTGTGCTGAATGGGCAGTGTTGAGCATTTTTCTTAGGCCCTGTAATCATCTGGGTTACCCCTTTCTCTACCCTCACCCCAGATAATACCATGATCAGATTAATCTACATGGTACTATCCCTCTTCTCATTCGCTGGAGAGTGCTGAGCACTGAGTTGATGCATTCTGTAAATGACTCAAGCTTGGTTTAGGCATGCCTGTCATGCCAGTACTTTTCTAACCTCTGTATTAAGACCACAAGGGGCTTTAACTAGGTTGAGCAATCCCAGCCAGCTGCCTCCTGTGGGAAGTGTTCTTTGACTTGTGTATTCCATACACAGGTGCAGTTTAAATAGCTACATGAAAATACTCCAGAATCATCAAACTAGCAATAAACAAATATACATGAGAATACATGTGCATTTAGTGACCTGACTTTTTAGACTAGCCTAGAATAGAAAAGAAAAACTAGAAGCAACAGATAAAGAATTACCCTGGAGTAGTACAGGTGGGAGAGGTGGCTGGTATGAGAACAATTCTGCTTTATGGCTGCTTAGTTTAGGCTAATTTGACATGTTAGAAATAGGTGAGCTTCTGAATGTAAAGGTTTTTCTCAGCTAAACTAGGATAGTAGCTGTGTCCACCACTAGCATAAGCTAGTTAGTATTCATTGAGAACTCCTATTCTCAATTAACTATAGGGCAGTCAATGCTGTCTTTGATAGTCTCTGCCCTGGAGCCCTTGTCCAGAAGGCCATATGTCCATGAGCCTTTCTGATTTGAATGTGAGCTACCTCAGCAGCCCTGTGTCCTTGGGCAAGCCACTTAACTCTAGCTCAAGTTGTCTCTTCTATAGACCTTCCTTCAATACCTCTGGGTTAATACAGAAAGCTCTTAGGACCCTGCCTGACACATGGTAGGCAGTTAGTCAGTGTGAGCAGTTATCATTCCCTGGGCAGAACATTCTTTATTAGATATTAAAGAATACCTACCATGTGACTCATGTTTTGGGAATTCAAGATAAGTATCTGACCTCAGAGCACAAAGAAAATGGTAAGCTTATGATTGAACAAGTTGAATTAAGAAGCTCTTAGTCTACTGTGGGAGATAAATGAATTATCATGGAGTATGATGAGCAGTCAGGGGTAGGAATAAAATTCAGTGATTGTAGCACAGAAAAGGAGCAGTGTGTCTGCCCATGCCCCTTTATCAGGAAGTCTTTCAGAAGCCTACAGATAGATTGTGGGATAACACATGGGGTCCCACATGATTCTCCGCTTTATTAAATTGGGAATTTGTTTATAGATAGGACTGCAGATTCCTAACGAGCCATTCACTACAGTTCTGTTTATAACCAAAATTTTCTGAACCAGTTTTATCATTTCTGTACATTCTGCCCCGTGGAACGTGGTACCTAAATGCTGCTCACTTGCTATGTTAAAGCTAACTCCTTGTCCTAAGTTCTTTCTTTGTAGTTCTGAGTCCTACAAAGTTTTTGATCTGAGAGTACCACCCTCAAAACCTCTCTCTCTCTCAGGAGTGGAGGTGCAACAAGCAGCTGGAGGTGGTTTGGTTACTGTGTGTGTGTGTGTGTGTGTGTGTGTGTGTTTAGTGGGGAGGTACTCTATTTGAGGGAAGTGTGGATTTGAGGGTTTGCTCCATGCAGCCCATCATACACTCAGACATAATCTTTTCTTCCTTTCTGCCTTGTTTCTCCAGGGGGAGCAGTGCCTTCTGGCCTGGAGGAGAACCTGTGTAAGATTTGCATGGACTCACCCATTGACTGTGTTCTGCTAGAGTGTGGCCACATGGTTACCTGTACCAAGTGTGGCAAACGAATGAATGAATGTCCTATCTGCCGACAGTATGTCATCCGAGCAGTGCACGTCTTCCGGTCCTGAGGGCTAGAATTGGCTTCTTCAGTGCCTTACAGGACATAGCTCAAAGCGTCTGGGCTCAGGGTTGGTCTGATGCACAGAGGCGGTTTATTGAAACTGGCAGTGTTCTCGAGACTGGGACAAGCAGAGGTGACTGGCATACCTGTCTTGCCATGGTGTGTACCTCTTAGGTGGCAGAACCCAAAGCCAGTGAGAACTGATTCAGATCACATGGGTGAGTGCCTGCTTCTCTGATCATGGGGTGGTGATGGTAATCAACGAAGAGGACTTTCTAGAACTTGGACCATGTCTTCTTCCCTTCCTGAAAACCTAAGACACATTTTACACATCCCATATACCACTCCTCCTGTTTCATCAATCAAAAGTCCTGCTGGGAATGGTTCCCTTACCCCCAGCAGTAAAAAACACAGAAACCAGAAATTTAAGTCTGCTACAATGCCTAAAATTCATTTCTTTCTCTGGACATATATATATATATACACACACACACACACACACACATATGAATCAGACCAATAGTATTCCCTAGGTCAGAATTTGGATCAGTAGACTCATCTCTGGTGAGAAATTAAGTCTAAATGCTGTAGAAGAATTTCTAAGTTGAGTCACTTCTGTTAGTGTTGGGGTTGGAAATGATCAGTCCCCTGACTGACCTTACCCCCAAACTGCTGGGGAGTCCCTAAGAGATGGTGCATGGGTCATCTCTGCCACACCATCCTGAGGAAAGAGAAATGGAGGCAGTGGCTTTCTGTTGATCTCTGGCTTTGATCCTCATTTTCAGCAGGCTAAAGTTTTTTTAAAACCACTTTAATAGTTTCTCTTCTTTGGGATTTAAATTTGCTTACCGAAGGCATAGGAACTTCAGCAAAGAGCTCGGCTCTTGTTTAGCTTGGCTGCTCATGGAGATTCCCAGAGAGCAGACATATAGGACAGTGAGTGTATGAGGCCCTGGAAGGTGCCAAGTGAGAATGGACTATGCCCAGGCTGCTTCTCAGCCTTTTGGGCGGGTCAGAATGAAGCATTCTCTAAATCATGATTCTAGCCTCTCGGTGTCTTGACACCACTGACACAGCTGTAGGGTCTGAGTGGTGGTTGCTGGAACAGCTCAAAGAAGAACCAAATGAGCTGTGTGCTCCTCTGTAGGATGCACCCCCAGCACTACAGCACCTGGGTAAATCGCTACCTTCCACAGTACATCGTAGACTGGAAGAACTGGAAAGCAGAGGGGCACCTAGAAGGGGCTATTAGAAATACCTAGGCTTTCTTTCTTCCCATCTTTAACCACTAAATCCTTCAGGGGATCCAGGAGGCCCATGAAGTTGTTGTCAGAGGCGCCCAGGCCATGTTACCTGTGCAGTCTAGGTCCCAATGGCCAGGTTGTGGGTCAGTGCCTTTGTTGGTGTCAAGAATCAAGAGACCCCTCTAAAAAGACTACCTTCCCTCCTTCTCTGGATACTAAGTACTGTAGTTTACAATGTCTTCAGTTTAGCACAGCCCACCAGTTTTGCTGCTCCTGGACTCCACTGTGAAACAGGTCTTAACTGAGCTGCATAATCAGACCTAACAATACTTCAATACTCCCTTCTTATACAACAGCTTTCTCTTCTGAGGCCTTACCTCCCTACCTCCTAGACAGGAACAGAAATAATATATGGATGGCCTGTTAGTAACCCAAGGAACAGTCAGAGCTAAGGTTACTTATTTTGAAGAACTTTTATCTTTTGGTGTTTTCTTTTGGGGGGAAAAAAACCAAACAGATGTCAAACAACTTTTTTATTGTTACACCAAATGAAAGTTGGAATTCTAAGATTCCATTCCTGTTAACATCTAACCCAGGTAAACTTTTTTCTTTTTAGTACTTGAGCCCCTTTCTGTTCTTCACGGATCCTTGGTCTTAATTAACATGGAAACACCTAATCCTTTCAACTAGTCTGTGGATTTTGATATGATTACACCAAAATTTCAGTTGACACTTAGTTTTAAAAGACAGACAGCTGACTGGTTTGTCCCTTGGAATAGTTGGTTTTAAACTAATAAGCTGTAAAGGAATTAATAGTCTATATTGTACAAATTTGTTAAAATCTCTGGATGTGAATGTGTTGCTCCAAGTGGCTTATATTAAGATTTTCTCACCTGGGTGTTAAAAAGCAAACCCAAATGTGTATTTTTTGTTACAGAGCTCTGCTTTATAATTTTGTAATAAAGTTTAAATACAGACAACTGTCCCATCTGGGGTGGGGTTGATGCCAGAGGCCTCAAAGTACTAGTGAATGTAGGCAAGCATCAGGCCACATGCTTAGAGCTACTGCTCTTCAGGGATTGCATTCCACTTTTGGAGATGCTTGGGCCGCCTGGTCTCAGTCAAGGCACCCCTGCTGCATACTGTGACTGCCTACTATTAACAAGAGTGTATGGGAGCAATTGTGGGACCGACTAGAAGTGGAGCTAGAAGTGGACGATTCTCAAGAGCAAATGGGAAGCACCACGTGAGTTATTTACACTGTCCCACAAGGGCCTTCAAGAGCTAAGTGGAAAGGAATCTCAGGACAGCTAGGTAGCTGGCTATTCCTGAAAGACAAGACAATAGCTGTGACAGACAAGAATGGCTCAAAGGTTCACCCAGCCTAGAGAACAAACTGCAAAATAAGCACAGGCCTATACCAACCTACCTGACCAGGTGCCTGAGGGTAGGGGAGTGTGTTACCTTCTGGAGAACTAGATGAGACATAATTCTACCATCTCTTAAAAGAGAATAATAAGTCTCAATAATGGCTGACCTGTTCAGCGTCCAGTGATGATTATCTATCACTGGCACTATGTAAACAAAAGGCCAAAGAGAGCAGGGGAGGTTTAGGGTGATATTGCTTAGGGTTGGGTGGAAAGACAGGAAAAGATACAAAGATGTACCTACAATCTAATCTCCCTGCAGAGAGAAGTATGTCAGAAACATACAAACACTAGATAGTGAATTGGAGTGGATTTGGAATAAGGCATTCAAGGGACAAGGGGCTAACTTTCGGCCCTGTGTGGTGGGGAAGTTATTGTCTTTGACACTCTACCCAGCTGCTTGGTCCAAGGAAGTTGGGGATCTATGCAGGCAAGTAGATGGATTAAAAAGTATCTTATTCATCATACTGAGTAGTACTCACTCTGCCCTAGTTATCACAGCATCTACATTCAACTGTGTCCTCTCTCTGCATATATTAAACAGGTGAAAGGCAGAGTCAGATTAGTAAGCAACCTCCCAGTAGGGTTTTAGGAATACATGGGGTGGTAGGTTTGCATCTTAGAGATCCACACATGGTGTGGTCATGGTGATCTAGCTTATAGATTACAGATTACCCTGTTGAGTTGGTAATAAGAATAGAGAACTGATCTTTCAGAGGTGGCACAGCATAGACTTGGAAGCCAGTCTATCACAGTACCTGGAGAAGCTCATGCCCAGAGCCAAGTGTGAACTTCGCCATGTAAGCCAGACCTCCCAGATAACATGTGTTACATAAGGCATCTGAGGTTACTGACAGTTGTCCAATGACTCAGGAGCAGTGCCTCTGTCCCTTCCTCTTGGGGAACTGATGCTCAGATGGTGTGATGGTCACTGGTGACTTGAGACCATTTGAAGTTATCTTAGAATGAGAGCTTTAGTGCCACATTTCAAGGGCTTGAGAACAAGATGAGGCTAGTTTAGGACACTTCCACTGTATGCAGTTGTACAAAGAAATCATCATTTGCCTTTCATCTGCCACAGGTGGCACAGGTGCCAGCCTTGGTAAGCAGGGTAAGTGTAGAGTTTCCTGGCTATGGATCTGTACTCCTGAGTTGTCCAGGTTTTGAGGAGGCAAATCCTCCTTCATGGAGCCTCTGTCTCCAAGGAGGCCACTTTTCCTATAGATGCCAGTCTCTCCCTCCAAGCTGGGACCTGGAAACTAGTCATTGGAGTTTACTTTGTTTTTTTTTTTTTTTTACATGAGGGTTCCTAGCAAAAGGGATCAGGCATAATAAGGGTTTTACACACACAAGAAGTGTCTGAGGACAGTTTAAATACAGCTTTTAAAATGCACACGGAAGTGAAAAGGAGCAAACAAGGAAAACAGATTCTGCTCAGCCTCCATTCCTTAGTCACTGAGGAAAACTGGAGATGGAACTGGGGCAAAAGAATGCATTTTGATCCTGACTTCTTGCTCCTCATGCACTACCATGCCTGGCTTAAGATTTCTTATAAAATTGTAGTTCAATGGCAAAACACTGTTCCTAGCATGTGTAAAGGGTATAGGTTGGTTATCAGCACCTCAAATAACTAAGGTTGGCTTCTTTTTCAACAAGAAGACAAAGCTAGCACCCAGATCTGAAAGATCTAGTTAAACTAGCAGAGAATTGCTTGTGCCCACAGCAACTATTCCCAATCCAGAAGGGACCATGAAGAGTTGGAGGGTGTAAGACGGTACATTGCTTAGCGAAGGGCCCCTACCATCTAGGCTGAGCCTCATGTAGTAGAGTGGGCAGGTGAGGACAGCCCAAAGAGGAAGATCGAAGTCCTAGCAGGGAGCTATCAGCCTCCGTTTCCTGATACATGCCCAAATCCACTCTGAAGATACCAGCTGGGCCTCTGTGTTCTTGTCCCTGTCACCCAGCACATGTGTGGCTGAGGCCATGTCAAATTCTTGTACCAGGTCCCCGTCGAATGCCACAAAGTAGCGTTTGAGCCGTTTGAAGTCTGGTGTGGAAGGTGGCAAATAGAGCCGCACCCCAGTGAAGACATCCAACAGCACCTGCAAACAGTAGTCCATACCGAGTGAGTCCTGGGTCAAGTGGGACACCACCGACCAGAATACAGGCAAGGGATGCATAGTCTAGGATGAAGGACACAGATGGTGGCAGAGGTGTTGCTAACCCATCCTTCAGTCATTCTGGCTGACCCAGGTCTGACAATTCCTCCTGTCCCTGACTAGGAGAAAAGGGAAAAGCGATGGGCTCCAACATCTCCAGGATATGGAAAAAGGGTGTCTCTCCAAGAGCTACCCCAATGCAAAATACCTCCTTAAAGATGTAGTCTGCTGGAGGCCAGGCATTGGTGGCGCATGCCTTTAATCGCAGCACTGGGGAGGCAGAGGTAGGTGAATCTCTGTGAGTTCAAGGCCAGCCTGGTCTATCAAGCTAGGTCCAGGACAGGCTCCAAAGCAGTACAGAGAAACCCTGTCTCCAAAAACAAACAAACAAACAAAAAGATGTAGTCTGCTCTGCAGTTACCTAGATAGAGGGCCTGGGAATCTTGCTCTTCAGTATGGAAGTAAGGGCTTCAGGGGGAGAAGAGAGGTAGAAATGATTTCTACTGAGAAGTGGGTTCAGGCCCTGGGATTTCAACTTCTGTACTTATGCTTGGGCAGGGGTGCAATCTCTGTTGATCATGTTTATTTACCCTCTGGGCCAGAAGCCACCCAGGGTACCACAGACTAGTTACGATCTCAGTAGGTACTCAACAGATGTTGCCAGACAAGGGACTAAAAAAAAAAAAGGGAAAAAAAACTCCCTTAGCTGGAAGTTGTCTATGCCAGGGCAGTCTCCCTCTCCTTGCTGGGTGGACCTGCTCCGAGAGACACAATTGCACTGTTGCACCCCACACCCAGACTGGGCTTTGTTTTTTAATGTGAACTGTAACTTGACAGCCCCGGCAGCCTCTCTTGCTAGGCCGGTGGCTCTAGCTCCTGCCTGTTGGCATAGCTCTCCCTCCCTCTTTGCTGTCTGGCCCGCCGCCTCTGCAAGGCAACAAGATGGCACAGGGTGGAGCAGCAGGACTGCTTGCCTGCCCAGAACAGGAAGGGAAAGACTCCAGTAGCCTTCCCCCAGACCAATACAGACAGCTTTTCAACTTCACACACACAAGCTTGGAACTCACGGCTGAGCCAATCTGGCCTGTCTCAAGCACTATTGTTACCCTCACCTTTGTCGGGCACTGGGTCTCTGGGGTCTCATCAGCAGCTTTCCTCTTCACCCCTGCTTTCACTGGAGAAGACCTCACAGCCAGCTTGTCTCCTGGTTTCATGGGGAAAGGCTTTGGAATCACCTTGTTGCCTGCAGGACAGCAGAGGTCAGGGTATAAAGTTAGTAGTACTTGGCCGAGCATGCATGAAGCAATAGGCCCAATCCCTAGCACTGTACAAACTGGGACCTGCCTATAAGAAAGAAGAAGGCAAAAGCAACTGCTGATGGCCCTGGGAGTCGGGGAGCCAAGAGATGGGTCCGGCACTAGCTGCAAGGTAAAACCGGCTCACCCTGGGTACTCTTACTCAGGTTTGCTAAGCAGATAAGGGGTGCCTGCCTGGTCAAACAGTTTCTGGTCCATGGGTCAGTGGCTGGTCACATGCCAGGAATGCACTGAATGTCTGTTGTAGTGGACATCTAATCACAGGACCGCAGCAGAGTCAAAATGTATGTCTGCCCTGTCCCTTTCTTCCCACATCCCTCTCCATCACCTAGGCCCTCTTACTTACCACCTCTGTCATTGGGGTTATTCAGCTTCTGTTGGGCCTTCTTGCCACTGGCAGAGGACTTACTAGGTGTCGTCTTGGGGGCTTTGCGGGGTTCAGCAGACCCAGAAGTGCCCTCATTCTCGCCATTGCTACCTCCGGTAGTGGAACTCCCCTCATCTCCAGCCACTACAGCAAAGTCTGCCTTTTCTTTGGATAGCTGGTACAGTTCCTAAGAAAGGGGAGAGGGGGGTCAGGTGCCGCCACTCCCTTCCCTACCCCGACATGGGTCTGGGAGAGTGGTGCCTGGCACAGGTAGCTAGTGAACAAAGTAGGGGCTGCAATCTAAGAAACTGTGCTGCAAGTAACCTTTGGTGGCCCCCAAGTTTTTTGTTTTGGGAGAGGCTGGCTTTAAACTTAAGAGGCTGATTCCTATTTAGTCCCTTTAGTGCTGAGATTACAGGCTCAGATGAACCACAGTTTTGTTTTTGAGACAGGGTCTCATTGTGTAGCTTTGCCTAGCCTGGGATTCACCATATAGACAAGTGTGGCTTTGAACTCAGAGAAACTTTGTCTCTGCCTGAGTGCTAAAATTTTAAAGGTGTATACAATACTACATTCTTATATTCTGCCTAAATCCTGGTTCTTTTTCTTAAAAAAAAAAAAAAAAAAAAAAAAAGTATATGTGTGTTTGCCTGAATATGTGTCTATGCACTATATAAATTGTAAATGTCTTCTGCCTGCAGAGCCCAGAAG